AAGTTCTATCTCTGCTCCCTATTGCCTTTCCCCACCAAGCTTGGCCCTGGAGAAGCTGAACTGTATCCCTGGTCTAGAAGGTGTGGGACCAGGGCAGGGGTTAGGGCTGGTGGAGAGAGGGCAAGGTGTGACCAGGGTGAGGACTGGATAGCTTTTATTTTTTTAAAGATTTATTTATTTATGCATACAAGAGCTGGGGTGCAGGCCAGAGGTGTGGTGGGTGAGAGGATTCACCAGAGACAGAGTTGGGAACAGAACAGGCAGATCTACTGAAATACACTGCTGAGGGGAGCAGTGGGCAAAGACAGGAGAGGCCGCCCTGCCATGTGGGTCACCTCCTTGGCTGGGGATTGAATTTGTGCTGTAGTGGCTGCTGACAGCTTCACAGTGCTTAGACTTAAGCCCTTGCACCACCAGGAAGGCGCAGGGTATCTTTTAAAGACAGGCCAACAGTGTCTTTAATCAGGAGGAACTGGGAGGAGGTTAGCCGGCCCCCCATTCCCGGCCCAACCCCCATCCCAGGGCTGGTAGCTGTTCTGCAGGCAGGAGTTCTCAGCTTGAGAAGTGAGGTACTGCTTAGAGGGGAAGTGAGTATGTTGGGGAGGAGAGTTACCAGAAAAGCTTTTCTGGTAGAAATTTTGGGTCCTTGGAGACAAGTAGTTTCTAAGAATTGATCTAAGTAAAGATGCTATATATTTCAACAACATGAATAATATCTACTGATTGCCTGCCCTGTTGCCCAGGCTGTGTTGGGTAAGGCCAGGGAGAGGTCATTGATTGAGATAGCCCCCAAGCCCTGTCCTCTCAGGCTTTTTCATCCCAGACACTGGCAGCCCCAAGTGGGCAGGGCTGTGATAGGGGATCCTAAAGGCCCGTGGAAGCCCAGAGGAGGTACCTGACTCTGCTGGTAGTTCACCGAGGGCTTCTGGGAGGAAGGATGTTTGCGCTTTGTTGTGAAGGGCCAATAGATGCTGATAAAGCAGAGGGCTAGAAGGTGGTTCTAGGCCAAGAAGTTGGTTCAAGGGAGAAAGTCAGCAGGGGCATCTGGAGGACCAAGACTGAAGAGATGAGGAGACAAGGGGTGGAGGGGGGTGGGCTATTCAGACGCTGAATGCCAGGCCACAGAGCTGAGGCCATCTCCTGAAGGCGCTGGGGAGCAAGAGCAGGCTACTGATTGCAATCTTAAAAGATTCTCTGGCTGCCCTGTGGGTGATGGATTGCCGGGTAAGACAGATAACTGCCCTTTCAGCCCTGCAGACACCATGACCCCTATGTTGTCATCCTTGCCTCTTTTCTCAACCCCCGATTCTGTCCATCAAGGAATCCAACTGGCTCTACTTTTTGAAATGCATCCTAAATCCTGTAACTTCTCCTCCCTCCTCTCTTTCAAGACCCAGATCTGCCCGCCCTCACCTCTCCTGAATGATCACAGTAGGCCCACCCCCATAGTGTGGGTCCCTGTGAACACCTGAATCACCTCAGGTGTTCGCTCCATTCAGACCCTCCATGAGCAGCATAAAAGCCCAAACTTTACCATGATCACAAGGCCCTGCACAGCCTGATTCTGTCACTACTTTCCCTCCAGCCACACTGATTCCACTGGTGTGTTCCACCTCAGGGCCTTTGCACGAGCTGTTCCCTCTACACAGAGCACTTTTCCCTAGATGTGCACTTTTCCCTTCTCTCCTTTATTTTTTTTAAAGATTTATTTATTTATGCATACAAGAACTGGGGTACAGGCCAGAGGTATTGGGGGGCGGTGAGAGGACTCACCACAGAGTGGGGAACAGAACAGACAGATTGAAATACACTGCGAGTCAGGAGAGGTCTGCTGCGCCATGTGGGTAGCTCCCTGGCCGGGGATTGAACTCATTCTGCAGTGACTGCGGACAGCTTTGTAGGTTGCGTCTTAACCCCTTGTGCCACCAGGGAGGCCCCCTTCTCTCCCTTAAACACTCAAGTGCCGGGCCTCCCCGGTGGCGCAGTGGTTGAGCGCTGGGTTGCGAAGCTGCCTGCAGAGGCCTCTGCAGCGCCAGTTCGATCCCCGGCTGCTCCCCGGCCACCAGAGGAGGGTCCCACATGGCGCGCAGACCTCTCCTGCCGCCCACTGCTCCCCTCAGCAGTGTACTTCGGTCCTTCTGCCTGCTCTGCTCCCCGCTCTGGCTCTGGTGAATTCTCTCACCCTCCCGTGCTTCTGACTGTAGCCAGTGCTTGTATAAATAAATAAATAAATAAATAAATAAATCTTTAAAAAAAAAAAAAAAGCGAAAATAATCCATAGAATGGGGGAAAATATTTAAAAAAAAAACAAAACACTCAAGTGTCACTTTCTCAGAGAAACTTTTCTTGATCACCCCCTTTCTAAAACTGCACCCCACCCCCACCCTGCCCAGCGTTTTTTCCAGAGCAGTTATCACCATCTGACATACCCTATAATCTGCTTATGCACTACATTCGCTGTCTAGGATGTCGGCTATCCAAGGGAATTTTTGTCTGCTCTGTTCACAGCCGTGTGCCGGCTTCTAGGAGAGGGCCTGGTACAGAGGGGGAATAAGAATGGAGGTGAAATGGGGCCAGAGGGCTTTGCCTTCAAGGCTCAAGAGCCAAACTGTACACCGAGGACACTGGGGAACCTCTGGAGGGGGAGGAAGATGCTTCCAGCTGCCGGGTGGAAGGTGAATGGGGGGGGTCACAGCTTAAAGGCCTGAGCCCAGAGAGGAGGACAGGACAGGGCTGTGGGGAAGGAAAGAGGGAGGCATCTAGAGACATGACCCAAGGGGCTCATGTGCCCTGACATGGGGGCACAGAGGAGGCTACAGAGGGCAGTCTGTAGAGGCTAGATCCAAAGGGCCATGAATGCTGAGGAGACTGGACTTTACACTGAGGGTACTGGGGCACCAGGGAAGCGTTCTGAGCAAGGGAGGGACATGATGTGGAAAGATCATTCTGGCTACAGTGTAGACATGGGAGTTCAAGGAGGAGGATGTGGCAGAAACCCCGAGAAGGGACAGAGGGGTATCTGGGAGCAGGTGGCTAGGCTATACCTCCCCTCTTTACCGCCTTCCCTCCCATCCTGCAGGCTGGCCCCGGCTTCATCTACAGGTGTGGTCCCAAGACAGCTTCGGCCGCTGCCAGCTGGCTGGTTACGGCTTTTGTCATGTGCCCAGCAGTCCAGGGACTCATCAGCTGGACTGCCCCACATGGCGGCCCCTGGGCAGCTGGCGGGAGCAGCTGGCTCGGGCCTTCGTGGGTGGTGGCCCTCAGCTGCTGCACGGGGATGCCATCTACAGCGGGGCTGACCGCTACCGCCTGCACACGGCCGCGGGTGGCACTGTGCACCTCGAGTTGGGCCTGCTGCTGCGCCACTTCGACCGCTATGGTGTGGAATGCTGAGGGACCCTGCCAGACTGCCCCATCCGTATCCACACCCCCAGACCCCCCGGGAGGGGCAGGATGGCACAATGGTCAAAAGAGTGGGCTCTGGGGACAGTCAGACCTGAGCCTGCGAAGGTAGGCACTGCTTCTGTCCCGCTGGGCCCTTCAGGCAGTGACTGCCACTCCGGAGTCCTGTTTCCCCAGCTGTAAAATGGGGCGGTCACATGTGGGTGAGAAGAGGCAGCTTAGCAGGGAGAGTGCTCAATAAAGGCGAGCAGCTCCGCAGTGTTGGTGCCCGCCTGACCGCCGTCAGCCTGCGTCAAGCCCCGCCACACCCTCCTTCCTCGGGGTCCCTTCTCGGGGCAGACCCGCGTCCTCATCGCCTCCGCCTCAGCCTCTCCCTCCTCCCCACGCCGGGGGCGTCCCTTTCCCTCACGGCCCCCCTCCTTTGCTCCACCGCCCCCACTTTCCTCCACTGAGCCCCGTACCCTGTGACCCCTCCTCTAATGGGCCCCGTCTCCATTCTCCCTCGGTGGCCCCTGCTCAGCGCTCCAAGCGCGCGAGTCTCCGTGGACCGCCCGGGTAGCGCGCGGCCGCCAGGAGGCAGCACCCCCTCGGCGGGGCGGAGCGGGGTGCCCACCCCTCCCCCCGGGGCCTGAGGGACCCCCCTCAGAGCCCGCCCACGCGGGGTGAGGGTGGCTCGGCCCCCCCATGCCCTCCCCCTGGGAGCCGCCCCCGCCCCGCGCGCGCTTCCTGGGTGGGGCCGGGCGGCTTCAAAACCCCCCGCCGCCCGCCCGCGTCCCCACCGCGCGCCACCCAGCCCGCCGGGCCGCCCCGCCTCCGCGCGCGCCGGGCAGCGCCCCGAGGGGCCAGGGGGGACGCCCCCCTCGGGGCACCCCCGGCGGAGCCGCCAGCGAAGCCGGGCGGGAGGGAGGAAGGCGCTGCCGGGGAGCAGCCCGAGGCCCCAGAGTCTGGGACGAGCCGCCGCCCCCGCCGCCACTGCGGGGAGGAGGAGGAGGAGGAGCGGGAGGAGGGACGAGCCGGTGGAGAGAAAAGGAAAAAAGTTTTGAGACTTTTCCGCTGCCGCTGGGAGCCGGAGGCGCGGACCGCTTGGCGCGGCGCTGCCCCGCGCTGAGGCAGGTCTCGGGGACCCCGGGCCGATCCCCCACGCCCCGCCTCGGACGCTCGCGCGCCCCCTGCCCCCACACGGCGCGTGCCCGGCGCCCCCACTCCGGACCAGCCCTCTGGAGCCGCGACCCGACTCCCGCGAAGACTCGACCCCCGACTCCGGGCGCACCCCCTCCGCCTCCCCCCGCCCCCGCCTCCCCCTAGAGCCCCAGCGCCACCGAGGACCCTCTCGGCTCGGGAACCTGGAGGCAGAATCCTCAGACCCGCCTCAGCTGCCCCTCTCAGGACCGCCCACCTCTGGCACCAGCGCGTCCTCCCCGTCTCTCCCGGGGTCCCGAGACACCACCCCGAGCCTCCCGCCGTCCTCCCAGGGCCAGCTTTGGCCTCGCACCCGCTCACCTTCCCCGAGAGGATCCCCGGCCCCGGCAGGGGCGGGGCCTCCCTCCTACCCCAGCCCGGCCCGCGCGCTCGGCTGTGCCGGGGGCGCCGCCTCCTCCATGCCGCCCTCGGGGCTGCGGCTGCTGCCGCTGCTGCTGCCGCTGCTGTGGCTGCTCGTGCTGACCCCCGGCCGGCCGGCCGCCGGCCTCTCCACCTGCAAGACCATCGACATGGAGCTGGTGAAGCGGAAGCGCATCGAGGCCATCCGCGGCCAGATCCTGTCCAAGCTGCGGCTCGCCAGCCCCCCGAGCCAGGGCGACGTGCCGCCGGGCCCGCTGCCGGAGACGGTGCTGGCGCTGTACAACAGCACCCGCGACCGGGTGGCCGGGGAGAGGGCCGAGCCCGAGCCCGAGCCCGAGGCCGACTACTACGCCAAGGAGGTCTCCCGCGTGCTCATGGTGGAGTACGGCAACGGTGAGCCGCCGGGCGGGCGCGGGGTGGGGGAGCCCCCAGGGGGCGCCGGAGCGCGGGGTCCCGGGGAGGAAATTCCTGGCCTGGGAACTGCCCGGGGAGAGAGGACCTGCGGAGCGAGGCGCTGGGAGCGCGGGTGGGGGTCCCGAAGGATAAGAGACGAGCCCCCTGCCCCCCAGGTATCTGGTCTCCAAGCGGGAGCAGCCGTGAGCAAAGGAAGCCGCGTCTGGAGCGCGGGGGTCGTGGGGTGGGGGTGGCGGAGAGGGAGCCAGGTTTGGGGGGAAGCGCAGACCCCAGCACTGGGGCAAGCAGAGGCGGAGAATTCAAGGACAGAAAAGCCGCGGGAGGCGGACCCGGGCGGTGCAGGACAGCGGCGCGAAGCCCTTCCCGAGGGCGCGAGGACGGCGCGGCGGGGAGGCGCGGTCAGCGCCGGGCGGAGCGGGACAGGCGCCCGCGGGGGGCCGGCAAGCGGGGACTCGCGGGACGCGGCGGGGGTGCGCGGGGAGGCGTCCGGTGTGTTTCGCAAATGGACGTGAGAGGAGGAACCCCGCGGGGGAAGCGCGCTCCGGGAACCTAGCTCTGGATCGTGGGAAGGGGCTCCCGGAGGGGGAGGACGAGCGTGGGAAAAGCGGGCCCGGAGGGGGTCGGCGGGGCGCAGCGCAGCCCTGCTGGGAGCCGCGCCCCCGCCCGCCCGCCCGCGCCCCGCCGGGAGGAAGTGGCCGAGAGGAGCAGCGGAGGGTCGAGGTGGGTGGGTGCGACTCACCAGCTCGGGGTGAGGGAGCCGAGCTGATAGGGGTGAGGACGCCCCACGTGGGTGCCACGCGCGGGGGGAGGAGCCTGCGCGCCCGGAAGGGGGAAGGAGGACCCCGCGCCGCTGCAGGCTCCGCGCCGGGCCCCTCAAGCCCTAGTTCCTCTCCCCGAGGCCGGGGAAACCCCAGCGTCCGGCCACCGCGCCCTACCAACCCCCTTTCCTTCCCGTGCCCGGGGGGCGGGGGATGGCGCGCGCGGGGCCTGGGGCGAGACGAGGCAGGTCGGTCCCCGCCCTCGCGGCCGAGGCGCCTCGGGCTGAGCTGCCGCCGGGCCGGCCTGGTCGGCGCCCACGCGGGGACCCGGCGTCCCGTGTGGCCTGGAGACTTGGGGGGCGGCCCCCCAACTTTCACTTTCTCTGTTGGGCGCTACGCTTGTGGGGCCCCAGCTCATTCACGCACCCAGTTTGTGACTCGAGCCAGATGACGCTCCTGCCTCCCCACGGCTGTGTCTCACCGTTTCTCGGCAGAGATTTCTCTACCAGATACTCCCCCCTCCCAGACGGTGCCCCTCCCGCCCCCAAACCCTGCCTCTCTCCCGCTGTGTGTGTTCCCCGTCTCCCTTCCCGTCCCTCTGGCCTCCCCCTCAGTCTCTCTGCCCCTGTAGGGGTCCCCCGTTTCTCTCTCCATCTCTCCTGGGGGTAGGGGTCCCCGTGCGTGCTTTTCCTCCTCTGCAGCCCAGCCCCACAGACGCGAGCCGCCTCCCGGTGTCCGCCTGCACCCATCCCTCTCCAGCCTTTCCTGCTCCTCCTTTCCCTTTCCCCCTATCGCTCGGTCCCAGCCTCTCTACCCTTCCTTTGGGGTTTGCTGAGTTGCCACCAGGTGAAGATAGGGCTTCTTTGCTGGGGAACCTCAGGGCTGACCCAAGGGGAACAGGAGTAGGGGCCCTCGGAGGGGGTTTCCTCTGCCCTTTCTCATCAGATTCTGCCTCAACCGCTTGGACACCAACCACCGCAGAAGCCAAAAAGAGTTACTCAAATTAACCGAGTTGGTCCTATCCCCCTCATCCCAGCCTCTTCCTAATTTTCTCCCCCTCCATTCCCAGCTATCCCTATCTAGAATGAACTTTGCCTTCTCTAGCCAGCTGATGGAGAGAATTAAGGGAGGAAGCAATTAATAGTAATAATAATATCACATTAGCAGGAAGCAGCATAGCCTGGGGTTAAGAGCAGTCTTTGGAACCAGGCTGTCTCCGATTGAACTTCCCCTCTGCAGCTCCTTAGTCATGTGACCTTGTGCAAATTACTTAATCTCTTCGTGCCTCAGCTTCCCCATCTATAAAATGGGTATAATGATAGTATCTTCCTCATGGGCAAGTTGTGAGGCTTAATCGTCTTAACCCTTGTAAAGTGCTTTGAAGAGCGCCTGGCCCATAAGGGTGCTCTCTCTAACACGTTAGCCCCAGGTGTATGCTCACTGCTACATGCTTTACCTGCAGTGTCTCACTTCATGCTGTCATCCCGCAGCGTGTCCTTGTTTTACAGAGGAGTATCCGGCAAAGAGAGAGGAATTCACTTGCCCACAGTTGCACAGCACTTCAGTTACGAGAGTCTGGTTTGGGAGGCAGGGAGCTTGTATCACTGCTGGGTCCCTAGGAATGACAGGAAACAAGGGAGGGAATGAGAGTCACCCAGGCCCCCAGAGCTGGAAGACAGCAGAGACACAAATGCCCTTGATCCCTACGCTGCACTTTAACTGGCATTTGAGGCTCCAAGCACTGGGGGAGGCCTGAGCAAGCAGAATAGCCCCTTTGGTGGCAGCCTCGTCCCCACTGGGCATTTCACACATAATGGGAGAAAAGGACCCCACTTTGCAGAGGAAAGCAGACCCAAGAGAGGAACCCACTGGCTCAAGGTCACACAGTTTTGAAGTGTCAGGCAGACTCAATAACATCCAGTCCCTGCTCTTAGATTTGGGGTGTGCCAGCAACCTCGCCTCTGCCAACCCCTGACATCCCATCTCTGCTCCTTCCTCCTAGAAATCTATAAAAAAATCAAGTCTGGCTCTCACAGCATATACATGCTCTTCAACACGTCAGAGCTCCGGGAAGCGGTGCCTGATCCCTTGTTGCTGTCCCGGGCAGAGCTGCGCCTGCAGAGGCAAAAACTGAACACAGAGCAGCGCGTGGAGCTGTACCAGGTAGGGACCCACGCTCTAGGGTGGATGGCGGGGCTGGGCCAAGCGGGCCACTGGCGGGGGTTGGGGGGGGGCACAGGGCCCACATACATAGAGCCTGAAGGACAGAGGAGCACGGAGCTTTCTGGGACTTTCAGACTCTTAGCTCCTGAGAATGTTAAACATTGGGAAGGCAGGAATCACAGAGGAGCTGCACTCGAAGAACGCAGAATTCTTGAAAGTTGGAAATTCTGGAAAGGTCGGAGGATCAACCCTATGTCAGGGTGGTGGCTGCTAGCCACAGATGGCCATTTAAGTTGATTAAAAATTAGATAAAAGCAAACATTCAATCCCTCAGCCTCACTGGCCATATTTCAAGTGCCCCGTGCTCACTTGTGGTTCGCGGCAGCTATTTTGGACGCCACAGATAAAGGACATTTCCTACGTCACAGAAAGTTCTCGTGGCTAGCACTGCTCTAGAAGATTCGTAGTCTCCAGGAAGTCTTGGACCTCTGGAAGGGCTGGAGTCCCCAGAAGGTTAGGCGACCTAGAACCCATGTCCCAGGGAACACTGGGCTTGATGGTAGATATTAGACCCTTCACAAGAGCACTTCGTTGTTAACTTCCGGGAGTCCAGAGAATTCAGCGTCAAGCTGCCAGCCCCTGGGGACCCTTCCACACCCTGTCAGCCATCTGCAACATGTGCTTTGTGGCATGCCAGACTCCTGGGTGTGTAGAACATTCATCTAGAATGTGTTAATTCTTGGGGAGCTGTGGCGCACTGAAGCTACAAGCCCCTAGAAGGGTGTAGACTCTCAGAATTCTGGGTATCCGAATTGACTGAACTCAGGATGTCTGCTGGAGAATCTAGCACTGTGGGCTCTCCAGGTGGAAGGGGACCTGGCATTTTACCCATGCGGAAACTGAGGCCTGGAAATAAGAAAGGAATTCCCCGTGACCCTGCAGGGTATGGAGGCAGAGACTGGGCTCCCCCAGTGCCTCGACCTCAGACTGGGGAACTTAACCTCTCTTCTCAGTGGCACTGGGGGGAGGAAGTGGCAACATCTACCCATTGTCTCACCCCCATTCATCATCCCCCAGAAATATAGCAATAATACCTGGCGCTACCTCAGCAACCGGCTACTGGCCCCCAGCGACACGCCGGAGTGGCTGTCCTTTGATGTCACTGGAGTTGTGCGGCAATGGCTGAGCCACGGAGGTGAGGACTGCTTGTCCACCCCACCCCTCTTTGGTAATGAGGTTGACTCCATTGTTTGTCCCGGGCTGCCCTGCCTAGTACCCCCCCCACCACATTGGTGTCACAGAGCCAAGTCGTGGCCCTCCTCCCAGACACTAACCTGCGAGACTAATGACTAATTCATTTCCTGAGCACCTGCCCTCTGCTGGGTGATGCTGGGGACACAGCAGTGACCCAAACAGCCCCACCCACGCCCTCATGGACTTCATAGTCCATTGCTGAGGGCTGGGGACAGGACCTGAAACTCAGGTAGTAATGACCCAAAATGGACAGGGCTGTGCTGGGGACCAGTCCAGGCGGTGCCTGACCTACTCCTCAGGGAGGGCTTCTTGGAGGAGGGGACATCAAAACTGATGTCTAAAGGATGACTGGACCCACACAGGAAAAGAGGAGTAAGAGCGTTGGAGGTAGTTGGGACAGTTGTGTAAAGGCCCTGAGTACAGGAGAAGCTGACAACTGCAGTCTGTCTGCTGGGAAGAGAACTGACTGTCCTGGCTATTCCATGGCACCCACATCTCCCTTCCTGATCTCTCACTCTTCCACATGATCCCATTCAACAAGTGCCCATAGATTCCAGCTCTGTCCACTCCTGTTGCTAGGGATGTGTCTGGGGACAAGAGTAAGGACCAAGATGGCGTCTCAGCTCTGCCTTCATGAAGCCAGCAGTTGCCAAAGCCCTAGCAGTCATTGATGACCCAAGGATCAGGACCAGGATGGGGGAGGCCCTTCGTGCTGTGGGAGCCCAGAGCAAGCACCCAGACCCATCTGCAGGAAGCATCGTGGAGGGCTTCCTGGAGGAGGGTGATTGTGTTGTGACTCATGGGATGAGTGGTAGTTTGGCCAGATGAGAAGATGGGGCTTAGGGAGCAGGTGGGTTTGGGAGGCGTATCCTGGACCACTGGGAAAAGGCTATGTGGGTCATTGAATCCAGAGCACCTGGCATAGGGCTCAGTCAAAATGTCCCTTCACTCATCTCTCCATTTCTCCCACAGCTGCCCCATGCCTTACAGCTTCCAGTCTGTAAATTGAGCAGCTGGCTGAGGAGGAAAGATGATAGATACATAGTATTTAGCTCAGGGCTTGGCACCTGGTAGGACTCAGTACATGTTTGTTTTTGCAACTCTGGGCCAGGCCCAAGAAAACAAAGATCTCTGCCCCATGCAGCTGGCTTCCCACTGGGAAAGAGAAAGAAATAGCAAATATGAGGAGAAAATAAAGTGATATTACCTTGGGGAGTAGGGGTATCCTGGAGGGCCTCTCTGAGGAAGTGACTGTAGAGTGGAGACTTGAAGGAGAAGGAGGCTGCGAGGCAGAGGACTGCAGGAGAGGATCCTCTGGGTGGTGAGGCCCATGTTCACACCCTCCCCTCTCCTCACTCCAGCAGGGGAAATAGAGGGCTTTCGACTCAGTGCCCCACTGTTCCTGTGACAACAGCAATAACACACTCCAAGTGGAAATCAACGGT